TTGCCATGTCCACTCAAACGACACGGACCTCCAATATCATTTTTAGCAAACTGACTCGTTACACCGAATAGTTTTGGTTCTTAGTTTTTTAAAATAAGAAAGTTTACACGAAAACACAACATGACGGTACTGCTATGCATTGAGAATAATTGCAATCAACCACAATTCAAATCTTAAAAAGGACATCGTGTATGTTTAATGTAAAACATGATTTCCTTCCTGATGATCTTAAGATTGGTGTTATTAGAAGAGGCATGACTTTCAAGATGTGTTGTCCTTCTAAACAATTTTTAAATGTAACGAATATAAGAAGATTGTAATATCCGAATTAGTTTTATAAGTAACGATTGTTTATTAATATGTTCCGAATTTTATAATAACTAACTACTGAAGATGACCACAACCAGATGGTCGAAACGTCTAGATTGACCTAAACTTTTGTTATAATATATTAATAAATTAAGCACGAAAATCCAGCTTGGGCTCTGTAGCTTGTTGTTAATAATTTATTTACATAGTTTACATTGTCTATAAGAAAAAAGTCCATGTAAACATCATATACACAATACGTAAACAATTCATATAGACGTGATTTTGAAATCTACTGCACAACCTTGGTTTTCACGCCTATTCTATTCTACCAAAAAGTATGTGATAAGACAGTTAAGACATATCACACCAGATGTCATGTTGATCTACAATTCTAAAAAAAGGATAAAATATTAGGAAATAAAGGATAGAATATTCTATGTATAAAGTTCAGTTCAGTAAATCATCTTATATCCTTACATGATTGTAATGATTGTCATTATTACAAATCATTAAAAGTCGACAAGAGTGACGGCCCAGATCCAGATTGAATTTTGGTGACCTCACGCGGGGAAACTAAGAAACTAAAGGACAGACACTTCCTTTTGCTACTATTTTAAAAAATACAAATGCAAAAAGCTAAAATAACTATATATAAAATGAACATACACACGCAATAACGCAACTTGACTTTATTTTTGAAAATAATTATTAAATTTATGTAATTAAAGCATATTTTTTATAATACTCAAAATTACACGAATGCTTTGTAAACGTTAAGAGTTTGAGATAATAAAATTTAATATACACAGCAAACACAGAATATTGCAGTAACATTGCGGCAATGTTGCAACATTGTAGCAACATTACAGCAATATTGCAACATTGTCACAATGTTGCTGCAATGTTCTGTGTTTTTGCTGGGTAGATATAAATTTTTGTTACAGATGATTGCAAAACCGTTTAAGTCATAAAGTCAGTTTTTTCTGACCTGTAAGCCGTGCATATTATGATTCATCCGCCTCACTCAAATCAGAATGTAACAATTTAAATGTTTATATATTTTCATATTTTTTCATATTTTTATTTTCTTAACATATTCTAACAAAATTCCTAACAAAAAAACATTCAATTATTGTTCTTTAATTAGCTCCATTTCTTTGAAATCCCTTCAATAGCTACGTCGGAAAAATGTGGCATGTTTATAAAAGGAAAAACTACAATAAAGTTCAAACTAAATGTACTTACACAACTTTATTCTTACATATAATCGATATATTCTTATATTAATTTTTTTTATTAATATTTGTATATTTTCAGACAAGTTATATAGATTTCACTTTTTGTGTAGGAATTATTATATAAATAGCTGAAGAAGTCTATTTAATTTTTTTTTTTACTGATAGCTTCTCTAAAGCTCTAATCGCCTTTAACCTCATCGCCTTTAATCAATACTGCTTTCGATTGATTCCGTCCTTTGAATTTTTCGGTAATTCTCGATGTCCAGAAATGAAAGAATCGACCTCTCTTTTAAAACGTCGAGCCCTCCAAGCTCGTCGTATTTCCGCTCGTACTTCACCGTTTAGCAGACAATAAAGCAAAGCTACGAAAGCACCCTAGAAAAACAAATACAATAGCATAAGAGTAGGTACGTGCAAGTTGTGCAACATCACGATAAACACCTGAAAGGATGCGAACAGTTGATCGCAAAAGAGCCAGACGAGTTCGACTCGATAATCCTTATGATAGGATAATCCTAAGAAAAAAGTGTAATGTATTCCAAAGAGTGGTACTAGCACTAGAGTCGACTTTGCCCATCTCCTACATTAAAAATAAACAAATACAAGATGTTAATATTTATCATCAAAAAATTATATACCTAATTGAGTTTTTTTGTTACAAAATGTTTGCTTCAAGACTTCTTACACGTTCGAAAATTGAGAAAGTTAATTGTAATCAACTAACTTGTATTTCATTTTTTTCCGTTGCAAATGTACCGACGTCTTCAGCTTCACAAGCAAAACGCGCACAATATTGAGGAATAATAAAAAATTGAGCTAAGAAAAAAGGAGAGACAGCAAATAATTAGAATTTGTGCGAATCAAATGAATATCGTCTTACGCAAACAACTGACATACCAAAATAGATATGATAATCGGTACTCTTATGATGAGAAATAGTGACGGATTTTCGTGAGTAGTCCAACAGAGAGTATCTTCCACAGTTGCGCGTACTATAATCCACGGTGCTACTACCAAGATGGGAAGACCTATGACGGTTTAATAAAAACATGAATTCTGCGATATAAAATGCAATATTCTACGATGTAAAGTGTGTCCTATGATGTATAATATGATAAATGTGATAAAAATCGACATTGTAATAAAAATTAAAATATTCACGAGCTTAAATAAAATCAATCTTACCCCAACCTAGCAGGATATACAAAGCTATCGTGCTGGTATCGGCACACAGTGCCAAGAAGACCAGGTTATGTAGATACAACCCTTCCATCAAGATCCATGAATAATTCGCCACGATAAAGTATTGCCACAGACTCGTGATAATCTTGCAGACCCAAGTCTGAAACATAAATTGAAAAAGTTAAAGCAAGGCAAACGATTTAAAACATTATTCATCTTTATACATATGTGTAAAGTAACAATACTTAAAAATTACTTTGATATTTGATTGCAATAGCTAGTCAGTTTAATGAAAAAGTTACGAAATTTTGAGAAATCTTTAAATTAACGTAAAATTTTAATATCAAATATAATAAGCAGGTCGATAGAAACTAATCATATCAGTGTCCTTTACATTGCGTTCCCTAATAAAGGTATTTTTTCCATCAGCAAAAACAACGTCCCAGGCTAATCCAATGCTGTCGACGAAAATCCAATCTTTCAGAAGTGCCATGAAAGCTCTCATGATAAAAGATGCAAACAGATGCATATGCAATTTATTTCTGGGATTCCTGAGTTTCCTAGGTAGTGGAAAAGGCATTAGCAATCAATACATTTTTCAATTAAAAAAGATTAAACAGGAGATGTGTTTATTTAGATCAGTGCTCGGAATTAGTCTGAACATTTCAGTCGATTTCCGTGATATACGCCTCCTTTCCTCTTCTTACCGCGCGCGCCGCAGCCACTAGGGCCAGCGCCGCCGAGCGTTAGAAGCGGCACTATCCGATTATAAGTGGGTTCTTCTCCCTATTTATTAAAATATATATATATATATATATATATATATATATATATATATATATATATATATATATATATATTTAAATTTTAATAAATAGGGAGAAGAACCCACTCATAATCGGATAGTGCCGCTCCTAACGCTCGGCGGCGCTGGCCCTAGCGGCTGCGGTGCGCGCGGTAAGGAGAGGAGAGGAGGCGTATACCACGGAAATCGGCTGAAATGTTCAGACTAATTCCGAGCACTGATTTAGATGAGGAAAATACGCTGACCTGAGTAAGGAGAAAATCACCATGGCGACGATTAGAGTAATAAAGGAAGTGGCGTATCCAATTTGCGATACAATCCTGATGATCGGCAACCATTTCTGTCAAAAGTATATAACAATAATGCAACGTTAACTAAATTTAATTTATTATAAAAATTTAATAAGTAAAATATATATAAAATATACACAGAAATATTTATTCTAAACAGTAACAAAAAAATACAGCAATAATTTCTTATTGTTAAGGTGATGCTGAAGTGATCTGTTTTACCCATTTTTTTGAAACAGATTATACTTTTTTTTGGCTGTGTAGAATGAAAAATTCTTTTCTGTAATTAAAGTACATATGCTAATACAGGGTGGATGGTCGATTTGAAAGGATTTTTTATTCCATTTTATAAGCAATTAATTGATATTAAAAACATAGAGAAGAGGCAGACGTAGCTCACGTTTAACAGTGATGATTCCGCGGGCGGGATTTCATACCATCGTGAATAAGTCAACTTCTTAGCACCGTCGATCATGTAACGCTTGCTATTCAGTATACACAGACTGTAATTGCTCCAGGAGACGTTCTGCGAGTTTCGGTACCACGTGCCGTTTGCCAAGCAGACTTTGCTGGCCATTGCTCTAAAATTGTCATTCCCCAAATCGGTGTATCCCATAATCGAGGCCATAATCGAGGCTGGTGGACAAGGCAAGGTCGCTGTTTTCGACGCTTCGGTGCGTGACCAGCAGAGTATTTTATCAAAATACGGTGGACATTGAAGGATCTCCGTTCCATTGCCTTCGACGATGCCGTGATCCTTTTTCAATCGGTTCTCTTGAGTGATATTATCGCTGGATAAGCCGATCTCGCCGATTTCTGACATCATGCCGTCGAACGTGGATGCACCTACAGTAGCGATCAATGAAATGGACTCACCGAAATTATTGTTTTCTTTAAAGTCTAAAGCAAAGTACTGTACAAAATCGCAAAATTTATATTAAAGAGTATTATTAACGACCGATAATTTTGATTAGAACATTTTAGTTAAATTTAGTTGAATTTAAAATATTTTTACATATTTATAAAAGTAGGACAATATACAATAGAGACAATACTTGCTTAATAAATTTATATTTCACACGTATAACAATAACAATTATAGGAACAAATAATTAATTATAACAATTATTAATATTTTTTAATAATAACTAATATTTTGTGATATTTGTGATTTTTCACTTTCCATCATTTTTCGGTGATTTATTATTTTTATAAATACTGCACGATACTTTTTGAAAATAAGTGTAAACTTGAATTAATTCCTAGCTCGTGTTAATTATCTATATTGTATACCCAAATAAATTTAATTTAATTCTTCCCACCCTTACAGTACTTATCAAGGACAGGTCATTTCGAAGAATCCTGCTGAGTACATTTCATTGACCGCTACTGTAACATTAGTGTGCTCATTCGTGGCAATAATAATTGTTTGATTAATTCGGAAAACGCCGCATTTCGAGAAATATCATATTAGATCTATGTCACTAGCGGATCCCGATTAATCATCTATTGTTTCTGATGAAAGGTTTCTTTTAATCAAGAAATTTATTGTTTCAGGAACTTTTTCGAATTTTTAAACAAATGCAAAAACCAAAAATTATTATTTAAAAAAATTTTAGCTACAAGAAATATTAAATTCTTTTGCAAAAAGAGTAAAAAACTTTATAGATCTTTTAAGAACTGAATGGCGTTTCATAGTGTTGTGTAAATATTATATATTATTATAGCCAGGGTTGGGAAGTAACTCGTTACTTGTAACGAAGTTACAGTTACAGTTTTTTTTTTTCGGTAACTATAACTTAACTTCATTCCTTTTTTTTCATCTATAACTGTAACTTAACTTAATTACACATTTATGGTAACCAGTAACTAATTTAACAGTTAATTTAATATTCTATATACGGTTGTATTAATTATAAGAATTAGGGCCTATCCAGACAAACTTGCATAGTCGCATAAACATATGCATAAAGAAATTGATTTCTCCATTGCATATCATATATGCAATTAATTTAATATTTTAAATGTATTTTTATTTTAAGTTTAAAACAATTGTGAATTATTACATATAAAATAATATAACACAAAATTAAGTACTTATGTAGTATATAAAATCTTGAAATGTAAGATTTTTATATTTAAAATAGTAGTGCACATTTATTGCAAAAAAGTAACTGAAAAGTAACGACTCGTTACTTTTTGAGTAACTATAACTGTAACGTGTTATTTTTCAGAGTCTTGTAATTGTCCGATAACTTGTAACTGTAACTAGTTATTTTTTCAGTGAAAAAAACTGTAACTTTAACTAGATACTTTTACAAAATAACTTTCCCAATTCTGATTGTAGCTTATATAATAATCAATATTAAACTAATGAATTATATTTTAATTTCAAACAGCTATTTAAAGATGTGAAGAAATCTGCTGTAAAGATTTATGTACATAGATGTTGTAACAAATAATACAAGGTCAAAGTTTACCTTCATTAAAAAACTGCTCGCATTTGTATTTCTGATTGGCCAAGAAATGCTGCATTTTTGCATCTCCCATTATAATCTTAAAGAAGCAAAAAGAATAAATTGGTTATCTAGGCGCTGTCTCTTTACAATTTTAACAGAATTTTTCTCCGTTATTCATTTCTTGATTTATAATAGAAGATTATAATAAATCTGTGCGGCGCCGAAAAAATATGACACATCGTGTTAGTTTCTTTATTATTATTTAAATCAAAATCAATTATTATTTAAATCGATGTCATGCATTTATTCTTATTATTAGTAATACGAGATGCTGCGACAAAGCAGAGTAAAATTGTCTTATGAAAAGAAATCGTAAGCATATCTCATCTTTTTACTTTTTATTTCTTATTTTTTCTTTTAAACTTTATTTTCATTACCGATGCAAAGCAATATTATAATTTTTAATAATTTCACATTTTCTATTTTTCTCTTTCTTTTTTATTGACGTAATAAAATAAAATTTCTTCGAAATAAAAATTTCCAAAGTATTAAGTCAAATTAATAAGTTACTAATAAAAAAAAACTGTTTAAAAAAAAATTGTTTTTTTTTTGCGGTAGTTTTACATAAGAGTAATCATATAATAAATAATTTAAGTAATAAACAATCAAAAATTACTACTTATATTTTTAGGACACTAACAATAAATTACAATTTTTTTTGTCGCGCATCACTCTGTATTTTTTCACTCTTTCACACACAACTTTTGATAATAAATCTTTTAATCACTGCAATATTTAACATTAATAACAATTTCTGACTCACCTTTGTAATGATTTCTAGCGAATTAAAATTATTCACAATAACTCTGTTGAAGCAGTCGCGCTTTCTTAAGTATGGACACCCGCGCGTGCACGCAATTGCGACTCTTCTGAAACTTTCGTAGAGAATCATTGCCATAAATCGAGCGGCTGCGCATGATTTTCCGCACCCCTTTCTCTCATAACGATGCGCAAGCGAAAAAGCGCTATGCTTCAAGTACTCTATTTCAAGTACTTACATTAAATTATTTTAAATAACATTTGAATAACAAATAAATTATTTAATCGAGTAAACAAGTATATTATAATGTAATTATTTTTTTTAATACTAATTTTGAACTATATAATTATGTGGTTTTTTAATACCAATAATTACTTTTTTTAATACTAATTTTGAACTATATAATTATATTTAAAAAATTATTTAAAAGATAAGGATCCACAAATATAAATTTTCTATAGTTAATGTAATCTATGTATATGAAACTATTCGTATTGATTACTAACTTGTTATAATTGCTACAACTTATTATAATTTATATAATTTAATTTGAAAGAAGTTTATAAAAAATTATTATTTATAATAACATAAAATCGCTCAAATTGATAAAAAAAAAGAATATTATACCTTATTAAATATTTTCAGATCTGCTTTTAAGGTGAATATCAAGTTCATCTTTCTCTCTATCTGTCTTTTCAAGATTTTTTAAAATTATTGTACTTAATTATGTAAATTATTTAAAATCTATAAAACATGCTATGTTTACCGATTTTGACAGTAACATTAATATGTTTGTGAAATTGCTATTTTTGGCGTACTTTGTCATCGTTTTACTATCCCTACATAACGCGTGACTGCTCGGATTTTCCATTTATGTAAATATCGCTGAATGTTTATCATGTTATATGTAATGCATTGGTATACATGCAATCCATCAAAGATTAATTTCTAAAAAACCTCTTCAATCAATTGTCGTCAATATTTGTTCAAACAATGTTCAAATTGACGATGGTTTCAACTTATATGTATAATTATATTACTTATTTCTCGCAAACTAACTTCCGCATTCAACGTGATGCAAGGTATATACATGCGATATTATGCATATTTATTAAAAAGTTATCAACAAAATAAGTTTAACAAGTAGAATATAATTTTTTGACGTAATGTACATTTAAGAAGGAAATATTATGCTCAAAATGTTCATTCATCATACGATTAGTCAATGGTCCCGAAAATTATATATTTTATTTAATAATAAAAATACAAATAATATTAGGTTATTGCTCTTCCTTAATTAAATTAAAAATCGTTTTAATATATAAAGCCAATAGAGCAAAAGCTGGATCGATTTGCTCAAAAATTCCTTTTTTTATTATAAATTTATACAGACGTTTCGGCCAAGGTACGTGGCCATCTTCAGTGTAATACAAAAAATATATAAAATTTAGTACATGATTAGAGAAGCGTTAGTAATATTTTTTTACTAAGGAAACGCATCCTGTTAAAGTGAAAAAAGAACAACCAAATTAGGGGTATTCTCACGGCTCAAACAAATTATTGAAAAAATTCTGTGTATAAATACCTCTGATAATACGTGTAGTACAATATTTGTGGTTAGTAAAATTATATACGTGTAAAGCCACGGACCGTCTAACTTGCAAAATTAGAAAAACAAACCAAATTAAAAGAAATTATAAAAATTAGTTAAAACAAGTAAAAGACATGAAAACATAAAAAAAAAAAATAAAATTAATTTTGAATATCTATAACTATATCTATATATATATCTTGAACGGTTCGTCACCATTATGTAAAAGAAATTAAAACTGTGACATGTGTCCACGACTGTGAGTAGCACTCGACTAGTAAAAATGGATAGAAAGGTAAGAGGGGTTAGGTTAGGTTATAGACAAAAATTACAGAGTGGGGAATTTTTCTCAACGTTTTAATTATTAATGACAACTCAAACATTATTTTTGACATTTTTCACAAATCTACATACTCGGGAAAATATTTAAATTTCCATTTACACCACCCTTTAACACACAAAAAAGGCGTTATTATTGGCATGGTTGATAGGATACTAATGTTATCCCATCCACAATTTCAACAAAAGAATTTAGAAGGCATAATAACTATTTTATTAAACAATAGTTACCCTTTAGATTTTATTTTCTTAACTATTAAAAATAGAATAAAATTTCATATACACAAGATTTTTAACAAAAAAGACAATAACAACGCAAATACGAATAATAATAACAAAAGAAAGATTTTTACTGTGCCATATGTAAAAAATTTATCGGAACAATTTATTCAAATCTCAAAAAATAACGATTGTATGTTGGCCTTTTCGTGCGACAATAAATTGAACAAATTTATAAAAAACTGGAAAAGACTCTCTAGATAGGATGAACCAGTGTGAAATTGTTTATAAGATTTCTTGTCGAGACTGTGACGCTACGTACGTAGGACAGACAAAAAGACAATTACGGACTAGAAT